TCTACAGCATAATGAAGAATCATGGCTCTTAATTTAATGTTGATGTATGGTGAGGTCAGATCCAGGGAAATGAGAAACTGCTGAATATGCCTAATTCTTCCATTCAGACAACCACAGTGTGTCCCTTTAACAATGCTGTCTATGTTAACTGTACGTTTATAAGCCCCTTTGATAATCTCTCTCCAATGGAGTAACTGCATTCAGTTGATACATGGGTGCTAACCTGTCCGGGATTTCTCGGACTCTCCTTCTCTGTTTTTATTGTAAGCAGCATAGGATGCATTTCTGCCTTTCACTCTTTGTTCTTAGCACTGACAAGTATTTCATAACAAGAAAAGTACTTAGAAAACCAAAATTCATATCACATCTCAGTGGTAGAGAAAAGGCATTGGAGACACAGGATTATGCTGCCAGAGTCTTGTTCCCTCAGCTGTTGCATGTAAATTTCAACAAAACTCATGCAAGAGTTGAAGCCTCCCTTGTAGTTTCTGAGTGTGTGTCCTGACTAATGTGTACTGAGGTGGTTCCGTCTCCTTCGTCCTGAGCTCTTTTTCTGGTCAGTGCTGGGACCACCTCCTGCTCTGTCTGTCTCCTATTCCCATTGTAAGCACACTCTGGCCCCAGATGGAGGAAGATTGTTATATCTCACTTTGTGGAGAATGTCCATTTGTTTTCTGCGACCAGTCCCTTAACACTCCCATCAAACCCAGCTAGGACCCTGTGTTCGCTCATCCGTTTTGTTTAATCCTCAGTGCACCTGATCCCAGAAGGCTCAGTAGTGAGCAGCCGGTGGTAGAAGAGAATGAAGGCCCACGGGACTCACTGGATGAATGTTATTTGACCAGTTCGGTTGGCCATGACCTGTCGGACTCCTGTAGTCCTGACAGAGGTGCCTCATTCCCATGGGACCAACAGGGAGTCTTCTCAGCGCTTGCTGTAGATGGTGAGTACTCCCCCGAATAGAGCACACGGCTCCTAGTGTGTCCCCAGTTATCCTCACAGACTTTGTAGCCAATGAATTGTATACACTACGAGAGTGATTTCTGTAAACAGACCCTGAGACTTGTGTTCTTTTGAATCAGGCTGTGGGATTTAATTTGCAAACGGCATCATGTGGGTAAGACAACTTTCCTTTCTCCTCATCCCAGGACGCCCTGTGACACCTGGACCGCCCGCACCAGTGCAGGCTGTTGGTATCAAGTCAGGCTAGAGAGGGGAAGTGAGATGTGTGGGATGTGGCCCGGCCCTGCCAGGCCATCATTCAGCATGGGCAGGAGAGGCCAATCTCCCCTACACGGATGGGCTGAGGTGAATGAACGGGACACATCAATGATCCTCGGGTCCATCCTATTTCTGGGCTCTGATCATGACCTGTGAACAGTGTGGACAGCTGTGACTCCGGCAGTAGGGCCGCAGGGGACCTGCTCTTTAGCCCCATCCGCCCTGAACAGGGAGAAATACTGTATGGACAGCACATGCACTTGATCTTTAAGGACAACTTCAGATTTCATTGGAGGCTTTTCCCTACTTTCCTAAGTACTGCTATTGGGCATTCCTTGTGATGTTTGATAAACTATTTTGCCTTTTCCCATGCAAATGCAGAGAATATTGAGCATAGTTTAATAAAAGCCATTAGTTGGGAAAAGAGAGATAAAATTAAATGATGAAATTAAGATGTGATATTTTAAAATACTTTAAGTCTGTGATTCAAAATAGCCTTTGAGGGTGGGTTTACTGGTTTTGTTCATTGTTTCACAGAGTAAAGTTTTTAATTTCAGAGGTGTTACCCTTCAGACCATGTGAATTATCAATAAATCTTATTAAGTATCCTAAAATGCAGTGATTAATGACGAAGAAACTCTTCCTGGAGGAAATGGGAAAGGCACATGAGGCTGAGAGCAGTGCTTAGGGAAAAAGCCCAGGAAGCTCTACAAGGCGCAGGTGCAGGGCTGGGGTCAGGAGGGGCAGCCTGCGTACAGGGAGGATTTGTTCAAGGGGGTTGTGGGAAGTGATGCTGCTGAAGAAAGAGGGGCCGGAGGGAGCAGGAGTGTTAAGGCAAGGTGAGGATTTGAGTTCATGTAGGGAGGTTGAGGAGGACAAGTTTCCCCAAGCTGAGTAAGACTGGTGAGACCGCTGCTAGTGTGGAGAGACAGGATCAGCGGAAGCCGTTAGAAGGAGGTCGGATGAATCACTGATGAGACTGAGACAGAGTGCGCTCTCTGGAAGACGACGCGGTCACAGACACAGGAGAGACACGTTTAAGAAACAGTTCAACAAATCTTGTTGAGCAGGAGGGTCTCCAGGGGGTAGTGAGGTGGGAGCCACACAGCAATGTGCAGCAGGCCCCGTGGGCCGTGACCCCACCTGAGCCTGACCTGGACTGGATGAGCTACTTGAGCTCTTTGGTTAGCCCACTCTCTGAGAATATGAACTCACTTCACAGTAGAATTGAAAACATGGGTGATTAGGAGCAGTGCCTGGTGCCCCTGGAGGGGGGTGTAATATAAGGAATGTGCACTGTGTCATCTCCCTGAAGAACCAGACATCCTGATTCTGTAGCCCTTCTGGACACTGAGCTTCCAGCAAGGCCCTCAGACCTCAGCTACACTACTTACAGGTGCCAGTACCCACCAGCCCACCCAGGACACATGTAGCCATGGGACGTATCCCTGTGTGGTGGGTGGACGGGCTGTAAAAACACACGGGGAAGGGAGTTGAAAAGGCTCCAGAAGTGGGAAGAGTTCTCATAACTTGGTCCATGTGCTATATCCCCCAAGTCCCATTTGTAGTAGAATTTGCAGCCTTTGGGCCCTACTTCTCTTGTTATTTCTTTATTCTAATTAGACATCAACAATTCCTCGTCCTCCCTTCCCTGGGTCCTGGCCAGAACCTTGTCTCTAGGCTACAGGGAAGGGTCGCTAATAACTGAGTCACGATCGTGACCTCACCTGCCATCCAGTACCCTCTGGACCCAAGTGGGTGATTTTTGATCTCAGCGACGTTGCTGCCAGGCACCTGCCATCTCAGCGTCCCCAGGCACAGCCTTCAAAATGACATCTCCGTCATGCCCATGATGTCTGCCTCTGTTGTCTGGCTGATTGGGTGGTCTCCCTGATAGGCAGGAACAGCAGAAATGGGTGTCGTGGGAGGGGCTGACAAAGGGAAAGTTGCATTGGTCCTACTGAACTGTCCTCTCCTTTCAGCTGACTCCTGGGAGGACCGTCCCCAAGGGCCTTTGAGTTTCCAAGGGTCAGAGATGCAAGCTTCAGAAGCACACCTGCAGACAAGCTCCCAGGTGACCCATCAGCTGCAGCTGCAGCAGGACCAGCAGTTTGACTGTGGTGACGGCATCGTCAGGCTCGGCCTTCCCTCCACCGTGTGGGGCTGCACAGCCAACACTGAGTTTGGAGACCAAGGGCTGCCCCTGCAAGGTAAGAAAGAAACGGGGAGTAGGAAGCTCTAGTCCATGAGCTGGTTGTGCCAGAGCTGGGGGTTGAGGAGACAGTGGGGCCTCTGCCATGCTCCTTTCAGGTCCACTCGAAATCCGCAACGCTCTAACAGAGGGAAGTGAGCAAGAGCCGCAGATTTAGGGCCAGCTCTGCCCCAGGTCCTGGGTTTGCAAATTCCTGGTTCGTTAACACAACCAGGTTATTTATCTTGTGAGATATTCCCTTCTCGTTTCCCTTATCTGACCACAGGGAAGTTAAATCTACCTTCCGTGGTTGTTGGGAGTGTTAAGAAACATAGTTCCCAGGGTCCGTGATTCGGTAAAACCTGCGTCAGCACACCTGTCACTGTTTGATGTCTACCCGTGTATCTTGCTGGTGATGTAACACTTACACAATGATTGCACGTGCATTGTCTCAGCTGAAGTGCAGGAATTTTGATGGTCTCCACTTTCTCTAGACCCTGTCTTCCCTTGCTTTCTCAGAATGGCACGTTTGCCAGAGTTCTCTTCTCCTCACCCATCCTCAAGCCAGTTATCCCCCGTCACGTGCTGTCAGTGCATTAGTAATGTTTAGTAGCAATGTGAAAACTGCCCACACACTTCAATGTCCTGTTGAGTTTTCACATGGAGGTAATTTTTCTGTGTTTAGCCCTTTATTTAAAATAAAGAACCACCTTCATAGATAAGGTGAGCCACTCAGTTTCTTCTATGATGCTCCTTTTAATTCGTCCTCTCTGCTCATCTTCATGGCCATGTTCTCCTTTTTCTTATCATGATCCGACTCTTCTCTGATTTTCTTCAATGAGCTTTCATACCCTCACATGCATTTCATCTGGGATGTATTCATCCTTACCCTCTACTGCTCTCAGTATCTCCACCTGGAGACTGTGGCCGCCTGATGCTCATGTCAGAATATGGCCTCATCTGAGAAATGAGGATAGCGGAGGTGAGAGAAGAAGGGTCACCACTGGCCACTGAGCAGAGATCCCATGGGAAGTGCTCAGCGGGTGTTAGGGATGCGTGGCCCTGACAAGTGCCATTAGCCCTTGTGGTATTTCATTGTCTTGCCTTCCCTCTAGTCTCTTTTTCTTGACCTTGGCTTCCCACACTCTCGGCCAGGACTCAGCCCCACCGGCTAGTCACTCTCTCTCCTGCACACTTACCCCAGAGGCCTGAGTCTGAATCCAGGCATCACGACAGATTTTGCTGCAAACGCTAGTTTTAATGCCCTTTATTCTCATAATCCCCCGGATCTAATCGTTCATGTAACCACCAGAGCTTCCCTCTCTTATTCTTCTTATCTCTGTTTTTCCTTTGTCAATTTCAACTCATCAGAGGCTGTTAGAATGATCCATTCAATATCTCAACGCCATCATCCATTGCTTCCCTTGTACACACACACACTTGTGAGTGTTGTATTTTTATCACAGCTTCCATGTCTTATTTAGCTTGAGTGT